AGTAGTAGTAGTAGTCGTAGTAGTAGTAGTAGTAGTAGTAGTAGTAGCAGTAGTAGCAGTAGTAGTAGTAGTAGTCGTAGTAGTAGTAATAGTAATAGTAGTAGTAGTAGTAGTAGTAGTAGCAGTGGTAGTAGTCGTAGTAGCAGTGGTAGTAGCACTCGTTGAATTATCAGTATGAGTAGTCGTAATAGTAGTAATAATAGTCGTACTAGTAGTACTAGTTGTAGTAGTAGTAGTTGTAGTAGTAGTAGTCGTAGTAGTAGTAGTAGTAGTAGTAGTAGTCGTAGTCGTCGTAATAGAAGTAGTAGTAATAGTAGAGATAAGAGGAGCCGTAAGAATAGTAGTCGTAAGCATAGTAGTCGCAGTAGCAGGAGTAGTAGAAAGAGTAGCACTAGTAGTAGAAGCAGTAGCCGTATGTATGGGTAAAGTAGTGATACTAGAAGTAGTAGCGAAAGTACGAGTAATATCAGTAGTAATCCTCGTAGTAGGAGAAGTAGTCGTACTAGTTAGTAATAATAATAGTACTTGTTGTTGTAGCACTAGCAGTAAGGATCGAGGTTGTAGTAGCAGTGGTCGTAGTAGTCGTAGTGGTGGTAGAAGTACTAGTAATACGAATAGTGGTAGTAGAAAAATGATGGTAGTGGCAGGAGCAAGTGCAAAAATACTGGTAAGAATAGCAGTAGTAGTCGGAATCGTAATGGTGGTAATAGTCGTGCTAATAGCGGTTGTAGTAGTAGCAGTAGTAGTAGTCGTGGTGGTAATGGTAGTAGTGGTCGTCGTAGTAGTAGTAGTCGTCGTAATAATATTAATAATACAATAAATGGAAGTAGTAGTAGTCGTGGTGATAGTAGTAGTAGTAGTAGTAGTAGTAGTCGTAGTAGTAGTAGTAGTAGTAGTAGTAGTAGTAGTAGTAGCAGTGGTAAGAGTAGTAGTGGCAGTAGTAGTAGTCGTCGTTGTGGTAATAGAAGAAGTAGCAGGAGTAGTTGTAGGTGTAGTAGTAATCAAAGATGCTGTAGCCGCATCGTTTTGTAAAATAGTAGAAGTAATACTACTTGTAATAGTAGCCGTCGTCGTCTTCGACATCGTCGTACAAGAAGGAGTCGTACAAGTAGTACAAGTAGCAACAGAAGTTGTAGTAGCAGTGCTAGTAGTAGTGGTAACAATACGAGTAGAAAAAAAGGTAGTGGTAGGAGCGATGGTCGTCGTAAGAGTACCAGTCGTACAAATAGTAAAGAGAGCAGTAGTTATCGTAACCGTAAGAGTGGTAGTCGTCGTCGTGTTACTTGCGGTTGTAGTACTAGCAGCCATCGCCGTAGTTGTAGTGGCAGTAGTGATGCTAGTGGTGATAGTAGTGCTAGTAGCAATAGAGAAGGACGTAGTAGTCGTAGTAGTCGAGGTCGTAGTGGTAGTAGTAGTAGTAGTAGTAGTAGTAGCAGTAGTAGTAGTAGTAGTAGCCGTAGTAGTAGAAAGAGTAGTAGTAGTAGTAGTACTACTACTACTACTACTACTAGTCGTTAGAGTTCTAGTAGTAGTCGTAGAAGTAGTAGTAGTAGTAGTAGTAGTAGTAGTAGCAGTAGTAGTAGTAGTAGTAGTAGCAGTAGTAGAAGTAGTAGTAGTAGTAGTAGTAGTAGTAGTAGTAGTAGTAGTAGTAGTAGTAGTAGGCGTGGTGGTAGTAGCGATCGTGGGAGTAGTAATTTCAGTCGTAATAATACGGGTAACTGTAGCGGTTGTAGAATTATGGGTCGTAGTAGTCTTGACAATGATGGCAGGGCTGGAAAACGTAGCAGCAGTGGTAGCAGCTGTAATAACAGTAGTAGTGCCCGTGCTCGCAGTAGTAGTAGTAGTAGAAATAGTAGTAGTAGTAGTAGTAGTAGTAGTACTAATAGTAATAGTAGTAGTAGTAGTAGTAGTAGTAGTAGTGCTCGTAGTAGTGGTGGTGGTAATAATAGAGGACCTGGAAAGATTAGTTCTAATTTCAAAAGAAATACTATGAAGTGCACACGGGGTAGTAGTAGCCGAAGTAGTAGCAGTAGTAATAGTACTAGTAGTGAAAGTAGTAGCAGTAGTAGTAGTAGTAGTAGTAGTAGTAGTAGTAGTAGTTGTTGTTATAGTGCTAGAAGAGGTAGTCGTAGTAGTAGTAGTAGTAGTAGTAGTAGTAGTAGTAGTAGAGTAGTCGTAGTAGTAGTAGTAGGAGCAGTAGCACAAGTAGTAGTATTAGTAGTAGTAGTAGTCGTCGTAGAACCAGTAGTAGTAGTAGTAGTAGTAATAGAAATAGTAGTAGTAGTAGTAGTAGTAGTAGCAGTAGTAGTAGTAGTAAAGTCGTGGTAGTGGTAGTGGCAGAAGTGGTAGTAATATTTGTATCAGTAAAGAAGTACTAGAAGTAGTAGTAGTAGTAGTAGTAGTACTAGTAGTAGTAGTAGTAGTAGTAGTAGTAGAAGAAATAGTAGTAGTAGTAGTAGTAGTAGTAGTAGTAGTAGTAGTAGTATTAGTAGTAGTAGTAGTCGTAGTAGTAGTAGTAGTAGTAGTAGTAGTAGCAGTAGTAGTCGTAGTAGTAGTCGTAGTAGTAGTAGCGGTGGTAGTAGTAATAGTAGTAAAAGTAGTCGTAGTAGTAGTCGTAGTAGTAGTAGAAGTAGCAGTAGTAGCAGAAGTAGTAGTAGTAATAGTAGTAGTAGTAACAGTAGTAGTAGCAGTAGAAGTAATAGTAGTAGTAGTAGTAGTAGTAGTAGTAGTAGTAGTAGTAGTAGTAATCGTAATAGTAGTGGTCGTACTAGTAATAGGAAAAAGACACTGTAGTAGCAAGCACTAGTACCCGTAGTAGTGGTAGTAGTGGTGATCGTGGCAATACGAATAGCACTAGAAGTAGTAGAAGCAGCAGTAATACATGTACTGCTAGCAATGGCTGGGTAATCATAGTAACAATAAAGGCAGTGGCTTGAACCACATAAACGGAACATTTCGGAGGTCCGCGCTGGATTCTCGCGTCGGCGCTGGACCGCCTGGCGGTGCTTCCGGCGGAGCGCGTTCCAGCGCCGCTCCGAGAAATCCGCGCGGATCTCCGAGCTGTTTCGTCTATGTGGTTTTTGGTTCTCTACGCACGAACGGCTTTTTGCTTCGGAAAGGCGCTCGGGGAGCTGGCTGCTGGCTGGTGACGATTGGGCGATTGAGAACGGGAGAAGGTCATCATTTTCCTCCTCGTCTTCGTCATCGTTGTCCTCCTCCTCCGCCTCCTCGTCCTCCTCCTCCCCATCCTCCTCGTCCTCCTTCTTTCTTACCGTGGACACGGCCCCCGGCATTTTAACCTTCAGTGCCTGCGCACTCCAGCAACTGCGAGCGCCACGCTCCGACAGCCGCGCCAATGCCTTTCAGCAACAGAGCAACACTGCGTCCCTAAGAGCAACACGCGGCACGCACGCAAGCGCAACTTTACCTCGCGAGTGCCACAGCGTCCCTGCGAGCACAACAGCATGCCTTTGAACACCGAAAAAGCCTGCGAGCGCCACAGGACGTCTGCGGTCGCCACCGGACGACCGCCGTGACGTGACTACGCGGGGGGGGGAGGCGGGGCCGATCACGCGCGAGATCGCCGGGTTTTTTTCCGAACGGGCTCTAAAGGTGCGCGATGAGGATGCAAGGGCCTTGGACGCCCATGTCGAAGCTTTTCGAGCGGGGCGCGGCCAAAGACAACGGCCCAGGATGGACCGAGGAGGCGAGAATCCAAGGGTACCCCTGGGAAGGTAGCCCATTCTTATTATGCGGGTTGACTGTACCCCGACGTCTTTCCGTCGTGTCTGCGAAGGAAGCACAGGAAGACCCGTGTATCTGCAGCACGTCGACGGGTTTTCTTTCGTAGACTCGACGGCACATCGATTGTGGGGTGAGTCGATTATGTAGTCGATCTCCGACTGGGGTCCAGAAAGAGAGGGGCTGGAGGAATAATGTGTCGTGGAGCCCCGCGGGCTGCTTGAATCGGAGCTCGACCCCCACGGCGCGCTCCGCGCGCACGAGGGAGGGGTGTGGCACCGATTCGAAAAATCAAGGCCGAGGGGAGGTACGCATCGTGGCCAGAGGCACGTACCGAAAGAAGGAGGCGTGACGAGGCCATCGATATCTCGGAGACTTCGTGCCCTCCCATCGTGTTCACGCCCCAGAAAGACGCACGCGCCCAGCCATGACATTAGATACGGCCACCCACCCCGCGAGGGGTCAGCCTCATGTTACGAGCGTTCGGGCAAGGCATATCGTGGGACCTAGGACAGAAGGACATCGTTCAAGAACAAGAGACCCTCCGCCGGCCCCAAACTGAAGAACATTCGAGGGTGCCCTCACCCAGAATGCACGAAGATCAGTAGGGTACCCTCCCAATGCCGAACGCGATCCTCTACCGTACAGGCGCCCCGTATCAGAAGGATGCGCGATAAGGATGCAAGAGCCCTTTTGAAGGGCCATGTTAACGCGAGGTCGGGCCTGTCCTCCCACAGGGGGAGTTTTGACGAAAAATAAAGAATAGTCAAACAAATACTCAAGAAAATACCCCCAAATAGTAAAAAAAACATCAGACTATGTTTTACTAGGTTAGAAAATTCCTCCTGTAGAGGGACAGGCCCGACTTAATGGTAACCTTTTTACGAACGAGGTTAGCCAGCGAAAGTCGCTGAGGATGGGCCGAAGGGGCCAGGCTGCAAGGGTACCCTTGAGAAGGCTGCCCATCCTTATTATGCGGATTGACCGTACTGCCCGCCCACTCTGGGGGGTGAGGAGGAGGAGGAGGAGGAGGAGGAGGAGGAGGAGGAGAAGGAATGGGGAGGAGGAGGAGGAGGAGGAGGAGGAGGAGGAGGAGGAGGAGGAGGAGGAGGAGGAGGAGGAGGAGGAGGAGGAGGAGAGGGGATGGGGAGGAGGAGTGGGGAGGAGGACTGGGGAGGAAGAGGAGGAGGAGGAGGAGGAGACAGACAGTGTCGTGTGTCCAGCCGGCACACGCGCAAACGCAGCACGGAGGCCATCGCCGGGTGATCGGGTGCTCCCCGCCTGCCACTGGCCTTCGGAGCCGCACGACCACACCAAAGCTGGGGAAGAGAAGGAGGAGGGGGACGAGGAGAGGCCTCGATCCGACCTGGCCACTGGCTCCGACCGACCGGCCGAGGAGGAGGAGGTACAGTCGAGGCGTTGACCTAAGGAACCCTAAATAAGGAACGAGGCCCCTTTTCTCCAGAAGTTGAACTTCGATGTCGTATCGAAAACCTCAGGAAAATCCAGGGCAAGCTGCGAAACAATTAAGAAACACGCAGCCCCTCCCCAACGAAAAGGGTTCCTTCTTCAGGGCCCCGACTGTAAGGCCGGGAAGGGAGGCCTGTGACAATCCCTGCTGCACACGCACGTTTCCCCTTCAGCCCTGACCTTCCCCTGGACGCCCTGGGCTCCTCCGCGGCGGGACCGCCTGCTGGGGCCGTCCGTGGCTCTGCGGCAGGGTCGGCCATGGCCTCGCGCGGAAGGGGCTCGCCGAAAAGTGGAGCCCGAGATCCGGGGGTCGCAATGTTGACACGCCGGGCGTCTTCGCCAGCACTTCCAAGCCCGAGGCCCTCACAGACGGATCTGGCTCCAGAAATGTGGCCGAAAGGTGGGGTCTGGAAGGCTCTGGTGGTGATTTATCATGTGTCGGGAGGTTTTTGGCAACCCCACCCCCGGTAACGTCCGTGACGCCAGGGGGTGGGGCTTCCCTCTGGAAGCAACGGTAGCGTGCCGGGAGCGGGCATAGCGGAAACCGAAAGACACATTATCGGGTAGTAGAAGTAGACGCAGTAGTAATAGTAGTTGAAGTCGTCGTTGTCGTAGTCGTAGTCGTAATCGTCGTCGTAGTAGTTCTGATCGTAGGAGTAGTAGTTGTAGTAGTAGTAGTAGTTGTTGTAGTAGTACTAGTAATAGAATTTGTTTTAGTAGTAGAAGTTGTTGGAATAGTAGTGGTAATACTCCTAGTCCTAGTCGTCGAACTAGTTGTTGTACTAGTCCTAGCCGGAGTAGAAGTAGTAGCTGTAGACATAATCATTCTTCTTCTACTGCTACTACGTTTACTACGACTACTACTACCATTACTGCAACTACTACTACTACTACTACTACTACTATTACTACTACTACTACTACTACTACTACTACTACGACGACTACTACTACACCTACTAATACTACCTACCACCACTACTACTACTACTACTACCACTACTACTACTTTCACTACTACTACTACTACTACTACTCCTACTACTCCTACTACTACTACTACTACTACTACTACTACGACTACCACTACTACTACTACGGCTACTACTGCTACTACTACTACTACTACTACTACGACCAGGAGTAGAAGTAGAGATACGATTGGAAGTAGGAGTAGGAGTAGTAGTAGTAGAGCAGGAGTAGTAGAAAGGATAGAAGTAGCAGTAAGCGATAGTAGTAGTAGTAGTAGTAGTAGTAGTAGTAGTAGTAGTAGTAGTAAGTGGTAGTAGTACTCGTATTAATAGCAGCAGCAGCAGCCGAAGTAGTAGTAGTAGTAGTAGTAGTAGTAGTCGTAGTAGTAGTAGTAGTAGTAGTAGTAGTATTAGTCGTAGTAGTAGTAGTAGTGCTAGTTGTATCAGTCGTAGTAATTGTCGATTGACAACTAGTAGTCATAGTCGTGGTAGTAGTAGTGGCAGTAGTAGTAGTAGTAGTAGTAGTAGTAGTAGTAGTAGTAGTGGTAGTAGTAGTAGTAGTAGTAGTAGTGGTAGTAGTAGTAGTCGTAGTAATAATAGTAACCGTCGTAGCAGACGTAGTAGTACAAGAAACAGTAGTAGTAGCAGTAGTAGTAATTAGAGGATAAGGAATAGTAATTGTTATGAGGGTAATCGTGCTAGTATTATAATTATTAGTCGTAGAAGTCTTTGTCGTAGCGACGCCACTAGACCAAAATAATGATAACACATATTGCTACCCTAAGGGCTAGTATTCGTAGAGGTAGTTGTTGTAGTAGTGGTGGTAGTCGTCTTAGGGATTCTGCTAGTAGCATTACCAATAAAAATATTTGTACTTGTATAAGCAGCACTCGTAGCAGTAGTGGTACGACTAGTCGTATTTCTAACAATAATAGTGTTACTCGTCTGTGCTCGCAACCGTCCTCACTCGCGGGGTAGTAGCACCAAGCAAGTAATGACTTGCGCCGTGGACTTGAAAGGATCAGCAATGTACTAGTAGTACGTTCGTTCTAGTGGAAGGTAGGATCATAGTACAGATAGCTCTAGTAGTAGTGGCCGTAGAGGCAGTAGAAAAAGAAATAACGAAACTAATCGTAATGTTAAGAGTACTATTACTAATACGAATACGACTCAGTGTTATAGTCGTAGTCGTCGTCGTCGCAGTGGCAGTGGTAGGTGTAAGAGCAGCAGCAATAGCGTTGTTACGTGTAGCTGCCAGGATGAAAGTCGTAGTCGCAACCTCAGCCGCAGGAGTGCAAATAATACTATCGTAATGGTAGTAAGAATCATAGGTTGTGGTGGTCGAAGTCGTAGTCGCATCAACACTGGTACTAATGACACTACGGCTGGGAGCGAATGAAGCATGCGTTACAATGCAGGACGCTGTACGATTCGTACTCGGAGGAAGGGGGAGGAAGGGAAGCGTGGCAGTAGCACTGGTAGACGCCATCGCGGTTACAATGAGATAGTAGAGTAGCAGTCGTGATCGCCCTGGTTGTTGTATCGATCGTTGATGTTATGTTGGTATGCCGTACCCTGAAAGAGCTACGACGCAACAGCGGTACCAGTACTCGCGCTGAACATCATAGCAATGATGACACCGACTGGTCCCGACAGAACAGTAACATTGATAAGAGTGTAAACATTGTACTGGTATGACTACGACTGGTAGTCGTGCAGTCGGTGTGCATGCGGATTGACATGGCACCACCAGTGGTAATCATACTCGTCGTATCATATGCGGTAGTTGTACGAAAGATGGTAGCAGTAGTAGTAGTAGTAGTAGTAGTAGTAGTAGTAGTAGTAGTAGTAGTAGCAGTAGTAGTAGCAGTAGTAGTAGTAGTAGTACTGGTAGTAGTATGCGCAGTAGTCGTATAAATAATAGTAGTAGCCGTCGTCGTCGTAGTCGAAGTAGAAGTAGTAGTAGTCGTCGTCGTCGTCGTCGTAGTAAAAGCAATAGTATTAATGGTAAGAGTCGCACCAGTAGTCGTAGTCGTGCTAAAATGCGGACTACCGCCCTAGTAGTGAAAGTAATCGCTGTGGTAGTGGTGATAGCGTTGGTAGCCGTCGGCGCAGTAGTAGTTGTAGTAGCAGTGGTGGGGGAAACGATTGCGAGCACCACAATGCCCTGGCGAGCACCACAGCACGCTACCAAACACCACAGTGCGCGCACTGCGCCTCTGCGAACACCACGGTGCGGTTCCGACCGCCACGGCGCGTGCTGAGGGGCCGCCCGGAAGCCTGCGGGGCGGGCTCAGCCTGTTCTATACACGGGGGTCCTATTTCAGCTGCGGCGACGGAGGGAATGGCCCCCGCTTTGCGCCCAGGAACGGTGCGCGCAACCTCCTGGCTTAGCCACAACGTCATGTGCGCGGCCCCTGGCGCAGCGCGGGCCTGGCCAGGGGCAGCGGATGTGCATGCGCCTCGTCACCGGACGGCAGTGGTCGCGGTAATGGATGCCCCCAGGGATAGAAGACGCCTTGCCGCCTCAAGACCCAAAGCAGCGAGCTGCTGCATCTCGAATGGCACAAGATGCTGCGCCAACGGTTGCGCCCATACGTTGCGCCATGGGTTGAGCCATCCAGTTGCGTCAAAGAATGTGCTCCCCGAGGGCGCGCCAAAGCTTGCGCCATAAGTTGGGCCGTGTGACAGAGGTTGCGCCACAGGTTGCGCTATATGGATGCGCCACATGTTAAGCCACAGGTTGCGCCATATGGTTGCGCCACAGGTTGTGCCACAACATGCGTGTGAGCACAACAACGAACACAGCAGGAGGAGCAGCACGAGGAGCAGCAAAGGGTGCAGCAAGAAAAGCATCAGGAAGAGAAGCAGGAGGAGCAGCACGAGAGGCAGATCAGCGCGAGCAGCAGGACCATGAATTAGGAACAACAGCAAGAGAAGGAGCAACAAGAGGAGCAACAGGAGGAGCAGCAGGAGGACCAGCAAGAGGAAAACTGGAGGAGGAGGAGCACAAGAGGAAGAGCAGGAGGAGCGACGGAGCAGCAGCGGGAGCAGCAGGAGCAGCAGCGGCAACACCGCATGACCAGCGCTCCTGACATTCCCGGCGAACCGGATGCCGCCGAACGACACAGCATCTTTGCGAGCACTAAATCCTGCCTGTCTGCACATGGCGCCATACCTGAGGGGAAGCCGGCACCAGCCACGCGTACGCTTGTTGCTGTTACTAGCAGGAAGGGACCTGCACGGTTTCCCCCAGGGCCGTAGGCAACCCGAGGAGGAGGAGGAGGAGGAGGAGGAGGAGGAGGAGAAGGAGGAGGAGGGGAGGGGGAGGAGGAGGAGGAGGAGGAGGAGGAGGAGGAGGAGGAGGAGGAGGAGAAGGGCGAGGACGAGAAGGGGGGGAGGAGGAGGAGGCATGAGGAGGAGGAGGAGGAGGAGGAGGAGGAGGAGGACGGGTCACCAAAGCCCTTCGGAGAAACCCTCCAGGGGGACCCCCCGTCACGGACGTTACTGTTACGGGGGGGTGGGGGGGCGTCACGGAGGTTACGGGCTCGATCGTCAAAAACTGTGTCTTGCACTTTTGCTCGCGACGTCGGGCCTCAGAGGGGGCGTCGTCGCCTCCTCCCCCTCCCTCGTCTCGGCCTGGCTCCTCCGTCTCCTGCTCCCCCTCGTCGGCCTCTTCCTTCTCTTCCTCACGCTATTCCTTGTCCTCAACGTCCTCCTCCTAATCCGACTCCTCGTCCTTCCCAGTTCCCTCCTCGTCCTCGTTGTCGCTGTGGCCGCCACCGCCGTCTCCACCCTCTTTCCCGTCCTCGTCCTCCTCTTCCTCCTCCTCCTCCTCCTCGTCCTCCTCCTCGTCCTCCTCCTCGTCCTCCCCCTCGCCCTCCCAGTGCCCGTCCCCCTGGCGGTAAACACGCGCATCGCGCTCCCCCCCCCCTTCTTGAGGTCCTCGACATGCACCTACAGACGGCGCACGGGGGCCTGCCGCGCCCCCACCTCACCGCGCGGCAGCACCGCCCATGACCGCCAGCACCGCCCTGCCGCTGCACGTGCGCGGACGGGCCGAACCGGAGCGGCTCTCCGCGCGGCCGGCGGACTGCGCCCTCCGTACGCCTCGTGGCTCTCTTCCTCCTTGCCCCACCCCTTGTGTCTGCTCCTCCTATACCCTCCTCCTCCTCCTCCTCCTCCTCCCCTCCTTCCTCCTCCTCCTCCTCCTCCTCCTCCTCCTCGACAACATTATCCTCATTCACCTCCTCCTCGTCCTCCTCCATATCCTACTCAGCCACCACCCCTTCCCCCCTCCAGATCCTCCTGAAACTCCGCATCCCGTTCTACCGAGCCCCTCGTCCTCCTCGTCATTCGCATCCTGCTCCCCGTCCTCCTCAGCCACATCTCCTCCCGGTAGGCCAACAGGTACATACATTCCGAGCGCGTCCGCCGCAGCCCCGTCAGCGAGCAGCAACACCACAGATGGGCCTTCAGCTCGGGCCTGCCGCTCGCCGCCGCCTCCTCCCGATCGGCTCTGCGCCCCCGATGCGGCTGCAGCCGGCCCCTCCGCCCAGCAGCCCCCAATACAGCCTACCAGCAGGCACCCTGCAGATGCTAGCTTTAGGTCGGGCATGTTCCCCCTACAGGGGGATTCCGGACGAAAAACATAAAATAGTCAACAACAATATTCCAACATGGTAAACAAAGAATGTTTAAAAAAAAATCGTCCCCTGACTATGTTTTGACTATATTTGAATGTGCCTCCTGTAGACGGAACACGCCCAACTAAAAGCTGGCTTGCTCCACCAGTCGCCCCAGGGGGCCGCAGGAGTCCTGGGGGGCATTTGGGAAGCCCAGCGATCAAGGGAGAAAGGTGGCCACGTATGCATTCCACTGGGACGTCTCCCCCTGACGCGCGCGCCTGCTTCCAGGCCATGCTGCAGCAGCAGCGGCAGCACCGGCAGCCACTGCTCTGCGCTTCTTCTGCGGGTAGGGAACTTTTGCTTCTAGCGCGTCGCGGCAGCTGGCCCCGCGACACGCTCTGCTTTGCAAGCGGATACAACGTGTCGCTCCGCTCCGCGAGGCGGGAGGTTGGGAAACTATCGGACGCTAACGCAGTGGAGCCGCGACGTGGATAGCGTGTCACGCCGAGGCGCGGTGGGCCAAAACTGGCGGCGCGACAGCTGCGCAAAAGTTCCCGACCGCATCTCTCTCTCTCTCTCTCTCTCCCTCTCTTCCAGAGTGCGCTCTGACCAGGACTTTGAGGGCGAATCCTGGGAGGCGAATCCAGCGGTGGCGACAAGGGCCTCCCAGGAGGCCCCCCAAAGGCGAGAACGGTGGAAACTTTGCGGCATGGGTACCTTTTCCTCCACGCATTTCTATATAGCTACCTCTCGCAGTCTCCCTCTCTGCCACACGCAAGAGTGACCCCAGGCAAGAGTGGCCTCTGGTGCGCGGACGAAGGGGGCGCACAAGGCCCAATCCAAGCGCGCAATCAGCCGCTACTGAACCGCGCTTCGCGATCCCGGGGGCCCCGATGAGCCGGACGTGCACTTAAGTCGGGCCTGTCCCCCTACAAGGGAATTTTCGACGAAAAATAAAAAACAAAAATAGTCAAACAATAGTCCAAAAATAGTCAGTGGACGATGTTTTAAAATATTCTCATACGCACCTCTCCGAGGGAGTAGAGCTCAGAGGGGATTAATGCGTCCGTGCGTCCGTGCGTGCGTGCGTCTTCGATTTTCCCGGCCGTTTCGCTCGGGACATCCTCAAAATTCTGAAAATCGGTGGCACCCCTCACGCAGATCGTGAAGGAGAGGTCCAAAAACACATAGGAATTCAACCATTTCTACATCAAACCTTCAAAAACACATGGTAATTTCAATAATTTTGACCCCGATTCTCAGAGAATGGCGGTTTCGCCTGAGACATCCTCCCAAAATCGAGCCCCAGACCCCTCCTCGGAGCCTCCTGGGGGCCTCCTGGAACCTCCTGGGGCCTCCTGGGGCTTTCTGGACCTTCTGGTACCCCAGACCCCGCCTCGGAGCCTCCTGGAGTTCTCCTGGGCCTGCTGAGGCCGCCTGGGGCCTCCTGGGGCCTCCTGGGGCTTCAGAACTACATGCACACACAGAGACACAAATCACGCCCAACACATCACACGCTAGACAAACATAACATACACACACACACACACCGACAACACACAAAAAGCACGCACCACACAAAGCACACATCACACACACAACACTCACAATCCTGGGGCCTCCTGGAGCCTCTTCTGGTATCCAAGTCGGGCCTCCTGAGGCTTCCTGGGGGGCCCTGGTACACACATCGCAAGGTGTGGCAACCCCACTTGCGCTCGAGTGCGACTTCGCTGTTGCATGTCACTCCTGCTTCAAACGCCCCTTCAGCTTGTTGTATGAGCCTGGGCACACACGTGCCACTTGTGTTTTTGGGGTATGTTATATTTTCCGTCGAAAAACTCCCTGTAGGGGGACAGGCCCGACATAAACGTGCACCTTTCGTGCTCATGTGGGGCCCCTTCAGGGCCCCTTTGGGGCACGACAACAGGTGCACCTCTCTTCACCCCCCCATGTCTCGCCCCCCCCCTGCTCGACGCCCGACCCTCGCGGCCTGGACTCCGGGGCGCCAGCCCGCGCACGCGCGGCAAGCGCTCCGCGCGGGGCACCCGAGAGAGCACGCGCCCCGCATCCGCGCCGCTGCTGCGGCCCCGGGGGCCGGGCCCGCGAGGCCGCGGCCACGGGCACGCCTCTGGCCCAACGGGGAGACTTCAGGCCAAGGCAGAGGCAGAGGCGCATCGGGGGCGTCGTCGGGCCCTGCCTGCCACGGGAGCGGGCACTCCGCAACGCGGTGCCCCTGCGCGGGGGCGGGGGCAGTCTCCCCCCCCGGGGCCGCCTGCGGTGCCGCTCGGCCCACCAAAGAGGCCCGGGGCGAGCGGGCCCCGCCGCAGGAGGGCTCCGAAGCAGACGCAAAGAAACTTTTGTTGTTTGGTCGGCGGGTCGGGAGTGGGCTCCTTCCGGTTAAGAGCTAGGCGGGTCGCGCGAGGCCCTAGTTGGGGAAACAGGGCGCGGGCGGGCGGGGCCTCAGGCGGCTGGAGGGTGCAGAGTACAGGCAGACGCAAAGAAACAGACAGACGACAGCCAGCGGCCGCAGAAGCAAGACAAGCAGACCCGAAGCCTGGAGAGGAGCGCGCGGGCCCGGGGCCCTCCGTGGCCGGCCCCGGCGCGTGGGGCGGCCACCCGCGTGCAGGGCCTGCGCCGACGGCCGCCGCCGGCGGCCGGCGAGGGGCCTCCCTCCCCGACGGGCGCCAGCGACGGGGCCGCTGGCGGGGCGGCGCAGAGGGCAGAGGCGGCGCAGCCGCGGGGGGCCTCCTGCGGGCCGTCGGGCGACCCCCGCTCGGTCGGGGAGGGCCGCATCGCTGCCACCGCGTCGTCGGCGGCCAGCCGGCTGCACGGGGCGACCGAGCCCCCGGCGTCCTGCCCCCGTCTCCCTCAGCACGCTCGCCCTCCATCGGCCCACTCTCCCCCCCCCCCCCGCGCACACTGCTCCCTTCCCCTTTGCCCCGATCCTCCCCCACTCGGGATCTCCTCCTCCCCCGAACTGCGCGAACTGCGCTCGACATTCTGTCCTGTTCCTCACCTTCGTTGATCATGATCATTCCTCCCCCTCCGCTCGTTGGCATCGGCGCGTACGTCCCTTCGGGGAGGCTACGGAGAGGCGGAGGGCAAGCAAAGATCGAGATGGAGGGGGGCTGCGGAGGTGCTGATGTCTGTCTCTGGCTCGACCCCTGGTCTCAATCGTCATCGCTCCCACTCGATGCCCCGCCTGAGGGCTAGGGGAGAACGCGGCTGCGAGAGCGAGCATTTTCCGATGGAACTCTGGACAACGCCAAGATCACCATGGCAACGCTGTCAAGCGTAGTGCTCGGCGGGAAGCCACGCATACAAAGTCCAACGATCGATAGCAAGAGTCAGATACCTTAGCATCGAATGCCGACTACTCCCGCTCACAGAGGAGAGGGTTGCAGCGTGTCTCCGGCCAGTGGGAGCTAGCTGAAAATCAGAGTGGATAGAGAGAGAGTGAGAGAGACAGTGGATGCAGCCAGATGATGCGCAGCGGTGAGAGGAGCAGGATCCAGTGAGAGTGCAGGTGAAGGACTGGGAGTAACTCTAGTACACGAGGGGCCACGTTCCGACAGCAACCCGATCGTGACACCCACCATTCCGGAGAGGGGGCTGCTTCAGCAGATGCTGCTGCCTCTTGGGCTGCTGCCTCCGCGATATTACCGGGTGCTCGTCTCGGGCTGACTACCCACGGGGGCTCCTCCCGAACGGCATCCTGGTCAGATCCGCTGTGGTGACGCGGATGTCGCCGAGCGGCCGCGTCGGGCCCCAGGGAACCGCAGGGACACGCGGAGCGATCCGCCCCTGACGCGCACACACTCCCCCGGGATCCAGCGGGGCACCCGTGCACGGTGTGCCCCGGGGCCGTGGCGACCCGAGGCGGAGGAGGAGGAGGAGGAGGACGAGGAGGAGGAGGTGAAGGAGGAAGGAGAGATGGAGGAGAAGGAGTAGGAGGAGGAGGAGGAGGAGGAGGAGTAGGAGTAGGAGGAGGAGGAGGAGGAGGAGGAGGAGGAGAGGTGGAGGAGGAGGAGGGAGGAGGAGGAGGAGGAGGAGGAGGAGGGGAGGAGGGAGAAGGATGAGGAGGAGGAGGGAGGAGGGAGGAGAAGGATGAGGAGGAGGGAGGAGAAGGATGAGGAGGAGGGAGGAGGAGGAGGAGGAGGAGGAGGAGGAGGAGGAGGGAGGAGGAAGACGGGTCGCCTCAGACCTTCGGACAAACCCTCCTTCGGAACACCTGCACCCGCGAGTGCCGGAGGCCCGTGCGAGCCCTTGGCCCCGGGCGAGCCTCGGGCGACCTTTTCACCTGCCGAAGGAAACCCTGCGAAGCTTGCCGCCGAACGGCAGGCAACATGTCACTGCACCGACCTTACAGACATGCTGCAGCGCATTTCTGCGTGGGTTCCTGCCAAAGCAAGACCCGAAACGGCGAGTGGATGACGAAGTGAATTTCGCGTGGATGTTGTTTTCGTCTTCCTTTCTGGCCAACGAAAATCCGCACGACATTCACCTCGAAATCCGGAACGAAAGTCTCCAGGACACTCCAGGCCCATCCGATCGTTTTCCGAACGAACTTCGCTTTGCGATGTTGGCGCCATGAGACATGGCGGGCAGGTGGCGAAGTCCTGGCACGACTTGATACCGCTTGCTACGGCCTGGCATGGCGCATCTGGGTGAGGCTTGGCGGCTCTATCCGACACGACTTGGGACGAGCGGTGGCCCTCCTGCCTGACACCTGCCCTGTAGGGACAACGAGCCGAGTATAGCGGAAAAGGCGCGGCGAGCACTGAGCGCATCGCGCTCCTGGCACTGGCCCGCCCCGACAGTCTCCGGTGGGTCGAATTGGGCATGGGACCGCCACCCGGGCTTTGCCTCGGGCTAGGATGTTGACCCGGAAAGCATGAGATCCCTTCTCTAGAAAAGGAAAACAAACGCCATAGCCATACACTTGTGGCGCTCCGGGATCCGCGCTGGGCGCCCCCAGCGGAGCCTCCAGCGCCGCCCCTGGCGCGCGCTCCGCGCGCCAGGGAAGGGGGATGTCCAGCGCAGATCCAAGAAATCCGCGCGTGTACGCTTATGACGTTTTTTCCCTTCTCCGACTGTCCCTCCAGTTCCCCTCGATGCCTCTTCTCTTGCACTCGCCTCCTTCCCCCCACCACCTCTGCGTCCCTGCCCCCTCCCCCCGGCCCTCAACGTCACCTGCTCGGCTTGCCCCCCTGCCCTCCGCGCGCCATCACCCCGCCCCCGCGTCTGACCTGGCCCGGGCCAGCCTCTGCCGTCGTGTCTCGCCCTGTCCAGTCGCATCCCACCCTGTCTCTCCCTTGGCTCGCCTTACATATGCCCAGGACGCTTTTGTAGCAGTTTCAGCTCGGCGACTTGGCGATCATTTTTGGGGCGCTCCCAGGTCTCAACAGAAACAACTAAACACGTAAAACCAATTATGCGTTGTTTTAGCGTTTTCAGACCGGTGTTTCAGCGCTCTCAGCTTGAAAACGTACAAAAGCGCTGAACAACGCCACGAAAAAAGCCTTGGAAACGCAAACGAAAACGTAGCGTTTTTTTTAAGCGCTTTCAGCCTGTCAAAGCCCAAACTAGAAAACGCTAACAAAAACGCCCAGGGCGTTTTCCAGGGCGCTTTTAAGGCGAACCGAGCTGTTCCCCCCCTCACATCATCTACATTCGAGGGGATCGAGTTGACACTATCCCAATCGACTGGAACCTTTCTGGGCTAAGTCAGTGAACGTACGCTAGGGCAAAATGAGGTTGGCCGAGGTGGACTGGGTAAAGGAAGATGAGCTGAGCAGAGTTAAGGAGAAAAAGAAATGTCAACAAACAAACGGTGTACTGGTCTACTGTCTGCGACGCCGACCAAAACTCTCAGCTAAATCGTGCTTTGCTGATACTGGCCCTCGCGACGATCGCCAACGACAACGCACATTCCTGACCGCGGTCGTGCACAACGATCGCCAGTCTGATCACCACAGCCGCAGCGCTGGTCGCCCTGCGACCATGCATTCAGACCGTGCCGACCGGTCCACCCCAAGGGCGCTGCCGGATCGGGGCACCGGTGCCCAAGCCGTCTGCGGCAGGAGCAAGGGAAAGAGGACACCACCACCACCATCATGGTGAAGGGGCAGAGGAAGAACCTTGTGGTGTGGCGTCGATGCCGCCTGCGCCCCATAATACAGAGCTAGGATCGGGATAAATCGCTCCAGAGCGTCCCGGAGCGCCCTCAGAGCGTTCCGGAACGCTCTGGAGCGGCCGCGGCGCCCAATACATCCTCCAAACTCGCCGATTCTCAGAGATTTCCAATTATCCCGATCCGATTTTATCCCCATCTTCGCGTCGTTTTACCCCACTCCGACACCAACTTCGAAGGTGTCGTGGAGCCCCTCGCCCGGGGGACATACGGTGCGATAGTGTCGGTGTCGCTCCTCCTCCGTCCGGCGCGGGCCTCCGAGGGACCAAGAGCACAAGTAGGCCACCCCACTTCGCACATCGCGCCCCGAAATCTTGGTGGGCCCTGGAAACGACAGGGCCGTTTTGTTACCGGTTCCGTTTCGCCGTTTTTTTTACCGGTTCCGACGCCGTTTTTGTTACCGGTTCCGTCGCCGTTGTTTGACCGGTTCCTGCTCCGGTTCCAATCCTGGAGTCGTTTTTTTGCCGTTTCCGGTTGCCGTTTCTTTGCCGTTTCCATTTCCAAGGGGCATTTCTTTGGAAACGGTGAAAAACGGCCCTGTCGTTTCCGGGGCCCACGAAGCCCGAGATGCCCGACGCGGATTCTCTTCGCGCCTTCCAGCGGGGAGAAGGTCGAGATGCGCGAGGCGCGATGATCTTCGTGCCCACGGGGGTGCGCTGCAGTCATCGTGCCATCACAAGAGACGCTGGGTAAGAAACAGAAGGTGACCGTTTTTTCTTTCCCGGGTAACGGCCGTTACCCGGGGGGGTGGTCGGGCGGGAGGGTAACGGTAACGGCGGCCGCGGCGTGCGCCCGCCAGTGTGCCTCCGCGCTTTCGGCGCATCAGCCGCCTGTGAGAACCGCACTCTCTGTGCACACGACAATGCCAAATGCCTGCGTGTAACACAGCGCCACTTGTGCACACACACACACACACACCACAGTGCCTCCGTACACCACAGCAGCTACATGCACTGCAGCACCACGTCGCCTTTGCACACCGCAACTGCGTGCGCAACAGCGCCCGCATCGCCTGCGTGCACCAGAACGCCAGCACCGTGAAACTGGATAACCTCAGGATTCCACGTACAGCACATCTGTAATATACGCTTACGCCCCTGGACTCTACAGAAAAACGTTGCATATGATAGAACTATTAAAGGAAGCCCTTTGGAAAATGAGGCGCCTCTGGATTGCACAGAAAACAAATTTGTCATATAGAGTTTCAAAAGGGATCGCTATGAAAAGCGGATCGCCTTTGTATCCCACAGAAAACTCTTGCTTGATAGAGGAACCCCGATGGAAAGTGGGGCGCCTCTGAATTCCACAGGAAGCAATTATTGAATCGCTTCGCTCATTCCGCTGGCCCATACAGTCTCATGTCTGCCGTTTGCCCGAGGGCCTGGTGTCAATGCGGCGCTTTGGGGGTTCCTGGGGCCGCTTGGGGGACTCCTGGGGCGCTCGGGGGGGCATTTGGGGGGCCTCCTGGGGCCGCTTGGGGGACTCTTGGGGGCCTCCTGAGGGCCTCGTGGGGGCCTCTTGGGGCCTCTTAGGGGCCTCTTGGGGCCTCGTGGGGGCTTCTTAGGGCCGAGGGCTCGAAATGTTGTTTCGTGTTCCCTCTCTGGGGCCCCTTTGGGGGCGTTCTTGGGGCCCTCTTGGACCGTCTTGGAGGCTTCTTGGGCCGTCTTCGAGCCCTCTTGGGCCATCTTGGGGCCCTCTTGGGGGCCTCTTGGGCCCTCTTGGGGCGATCTCTCTGGGCCGTCTTGGGGCGTCGGGAAGCCGAAAAGGTGGAAGCTCCAAAATCTCTCAAAAACCTAAGGAAAACCAATGAATTTTGCCTCCGGGGGCCCTCTTGGGAGTGCTCTTGGATGCCTCTTGGGGCGTCTGGGGGCTATCTTGGGCGTCTTGGAGCGATCTTGTGGCATGTCGGACCCCTCGTGTACCATCTTGGGGGCCTCTTGGGGGCCTCTTGGCCTTGGGGGCCTCTTGGCCTTTCTTGGGGCTCTCGGGGACGTCTCGGAGCCCTGTTGGTGCGCTCATGGAGCGCTCCTGGAGCGCTCTGGGGGAGTCTCCCGGGGATCGGTCGGGGATCGCCCGGGGTACTTTCCGTCCGGGGACCCCCAGGGGCCGCCCCGCGCGCGCGAACTAGAGAATTATTAACCAGTTACCGGAGATCTTAGCACGCCTCTGGCCCGTTGGGCCGGCGAATTTCAGATGCATGTTTTAGAAGAGTCCCTATGGAAAGTGGAGCGCCTGAGGATGCTACACGCGTGCAAAGCACAACGCTTGCGTACACCACAACGCCTGTATACACCACAGCAGCCGCGTGCAACACACAGCGACGGTGTACACCACAGTGCCTGCGTGCACCACAACGGTCACGTACACCACAGAGCCTGTGCACACAGCAACAGCAAGGTGCAACGCAGCGCCGGCGTGCACCGCGCTGCCTTCGTGAACCACAGCGCACGCGCAAGCCACAGCGCCTGCGGGAGAAGGCGCGGGGCAGCCCAGTCTCCATCTTCTCCATCTCCATGGCGCTGGGTCTACAATCGCTACGTGCAGTAAGGACAGGTGTTAAGGACGCAAAAACCCTTGGAAACCGAAGTGAGGCTTTGTTGGCAAAAACTGCCCGATGAAACGGACAAAAAGGACAGGCCGCAGAGGCAAGGACACCAGGGTACTCTGAAAAAGGCGCGCGCCCTGGTTAGGCGCGGCGACTGTATCGCACTGCAACCGAGCACTGGCCAGAAGGCCGAGTGGTCGAACCAGCCTGCGGTAGCTGAGCCATCGACGACGCGACGACAACGACGAAGAAGACGATCGTCTGGCTCTGTTCTACTGTCTCCGTCCGTCGTCCACAACTATATAGATCTATATATATATATAAATATCTCCATCAGCAGCTTACACATGATCGCTATGTGGTCCTCAAGCAGGTGCTTCACGCAGCGAGCGGCCCACGCGCGCAGCCCGCGCTCCGATCAGACCACGCCATGCCTGCGAGCACAGCGCCAAAACTGCGGGGGGCCCGCTCGCATGTAGGAGGGGGGGGCGCCCAGGCCCCCCTCCCCCCTACACGATCGTTAGCGTTCTGGGGGGGGGAACTCCCCCCGGCACGATCGTTGTGGACTGGCCCGGGTAGCGAGCGTTCCGCCAGGGAAGAACGAAACACGCTCACAGGGGCGTGTCCTGCCACGGCGCACCTCGGGGCCGACTCCAGACACCCTGAACCCAAAAATGCTGACCATCTCTGAGGGGCGCTTCTTCCACTTCCGCCGGCTTCCGCGGGCGCTCTACCAGCTTCCGCCGGCGAGGCAGCCTCCTTTTCCCTTGCCGCCCTCCGCCGGCTTCCGCCGGCCCTTCACCGGCCTCCGCCGGCGGACAGCCTCCTTTTCCTTCCGCCGCCTTCTGCAGACCTTCCGCCCGCTCCGGCCGCCAAGGAAGTCGTGATGCCAACTTTTTCGATCCTCCCAGGCCAAGGCACTTCTTGCGCGTTTTTGTCTCCCTCCGGGCCCTCTGGGGTAACGATTGTTACCCGGGGGGAGGGTCTCGGGCGGGAGGGTAACAGTGACGGCGGCGGCGGCGGGCACCCGCCAGGGTGCGTCCGCGCCACCGGCGCATCAACCGCCCGTGTGCACCACAGTCTCTGCATACACGACAACAATGCCAAACGCCTGCGTGCAACACACCGCCGCCTGCGTGCACTGCAGTGCCTCCGTACGCCACAACAGCCGCGTGCGCGCGTGCCTCCGTCCCCTATATACACCGCAGTGCCTGTGCAAACTGCAGATGCCGCGCGCGCGCAACAGCGCCTGCGTACACCTCGTTGCATGCGTGCACTAGATCGCTTGTGCACATCACAGCGCCTGTGTACACCACAGCAGCCATGTGTACCGCAGCGCCCACGCACGCCACGATGCCTCCGTGCACCACAACGCTTGTGCACAACAGAACGCCAAACGTGCCAACGAGTGCATCAATTAGTAGCTTGCGAGGCCACCTTGCGGGGATCGCCACAGACCACTGAGGCCTTCAGGACGCGTCATTCATCTCCTCCTCCTCCTCCTCCTCCTGCTCCTGCTCCTCCTCCTCCTCCTCCTCCTCCTCCTCCTCCTCCTCCTCCTCCTCCTCCTCCTCATCGTCATCATCCTCCACCTCCTCCCCCTCCTGCACCTCCTTCTTCCTGTCCTCTTCCTCTCCTCTTTCAACGATGCTGGTGGCCTTTGCTGAAGGAGAGGAATACGGAGAGGGGGAGGAGCAGCAAAAGGAGCAGCAACAGGAGGAACAGCAGGAGCAACAACTGGAAGAGCAGCACAAACACGCATGCGAGCACCGAAAAATGCCTTTTGGCACCACGCCATGCGCATGAGCTCTGCGCCGCAACAGGTGGGGAGCCTGCGAGCGCCATAACACGTTCGTGAGCACCGCAATGCGCCCTTCAGCACCACGACGCGCCTGTGAGCACAGTCCGCCCCCCCTAGCATGTAGAGGGGGGTTCTGGCCTCCCCCGCCCAATACGATCGTTAGCGCTACCGGGGGGGAGGAGTATGGCCCGGGGAACGAGCGCTACGCTTGGAAGGGAAACAAAAACGCTCCCTTTCCTGGAACCCTCCGCACTCATGTAGGGGTCGGCCCGACACCAGGAGCCCCTCCCTGAACCTTACTTCGGGGGTGACGAATTCGGCGCCTTGACTGCACGGAGCTGTCCCGCTCGGGCGAAACGCTCGCCTGGCAACGCTGGCCTCTAGCGGCCTGGACGGGGGCCCGTGCACGGCGCCTGCCTCTCGGCGGGAGTGCTCGCGCGGCAGCGCTGGCCTTTCCGGCGGGGCCTCGAGGGGGGCGCCGCGGCGGCGCCCGTGAACGCTGGCGAGCTTCGGCCGCCGCGCGCGCCCTGCACAGGATCAGCCTAGAACTGGCTGTGGAGACCAATGGACCCCCTTCTGTCATAAAATGGCAGTGGTAGGCGCTGGACCGCTCGAACGAGGCCGACGCTGCCTTCGGCACACCTCGTCGGCGCCAGGTACAGTCGCCAAGACGTGCTGTAGTGTACGGCCAGCGGTGAGAAATAGAACAGCGAGGCACCCCCAAAGTCACTCGGCGGTGGACAAAGCTCCCTTTAGCAAACCTTCCCTTCTTGAAAACGGCCTAGGACCGAAACCGACGGACCTGGACCCGCCAAAATGACGGCCGCGACGCCATCCCGCGAACCGAAAACGGCCAATTCGCCAATCGACGCGTCAGGGTAGGAGGTCTATCAACCTCCGAGTAATAATATGGGCACGGCTTGCGAATCTACACGCATCTCCACAGCGCGGCTTCTGGGTTGGAAGATGCGGTTCCGTATAGGTCGAGCAAGATGGAGCGTTGATGGGGCAGGTTGCCATCAATGTCTTCTGCGCGAAATTGCAATTCACATGCCAAATGTGACTCGTGTGGGAAGTAAAGTTGTATCAATCCCAACAGTCTACATGACATGTGCCCCCA